GGCGGAGGCGTGGGGGGAGCCTGGGGCTGTGGGTTGGGACAGGCACAGTCACCGTTCTTTCCTGGACCTACTGCTACACCCTCCCCCTCCCTTTTTCTTGCCGCGAGGAGCTGACGGGTGCGTGGGGCTCCCTGATTCTACTCCCACCCCATCCCCGCGGCTCCTCCCCGGCTCGGTCCCAGCACTAACAGGCCATGCAGGGGCACCGCTGGCTCCCACCAGGGCGGGTTTTGCCTCCACCCGACACAACCCAGCACCGGGTGTCGTTTCTTTTCTTTTGCCCTTGTTTCCTCCGGCCCTGCCCTGCCACCCCCTTCCCCACGGATCCGCACCCAGCACCAGCTGCCTGTCCCCGCCACCCCCTGCGAGTCTCAGGGCACCGTGCCCCAGAGCTGGGCCCCAGGGCAGGTCTGCGTGGGGAGGGAGGGGCTGGGTCATGGAGCCCGGGGGCTGGCAATGGGCCTCTCTGCTTTCAGACATTACTGAGGAAGAGGCAAGGTACTGGGCCAAGAAGCTGGAGCAGCTCAATGCCATGAAGGATCAGGATGATGTAAGTCAACCCTGGGGCTGGCTCCCCCGGCTCAGAGCCCCCCCGCCCCGCCCTGGCTGGGCCCGTGGCCTGGCCTCTGCACATCCCTGGCCTGCGGGGATCTGTGGTTCCCAGGAGCACTGGGGGGGGGTCTCCCCCGCCCCAAACAGCTGGGCCGGGGCAGGCCTGGAGACTGCCGGGCTGGGATGCCCGTGACCTCCCTCTGTTCTCTCCCCAGTACGCGTTCCAGGAGGAGCAGGACAAGCCGCTCCCGGTGCCCGGCTCCCAGTGCTGTAAGTACCACTCACCCTCCGCCTCCTGGGGGCCTGGGTCCCTCCCGCTCCCACGGAGCTGGGTCACGGGTGCCTGGCAGGTCCGCCCCCAGGGGCCAGGAGGGAGCCGGAGCCGGCAGGCACGTGTGGCATCTCCCAGCTCTGGTTAACCCTGGAATTTGTTTGATCCCCCAAATCCGGTGGCGAGGGGGCAGCTATAGGACCTGTGTCTCCATTCCCCCCCCAACTCACGGTCCCTTCCCAGGCCCCATGCAGAGCCCTCACCACCCGTGGGCCAGCCGCAGCAGCTGGCAGCTCTCTGGGGAGGGGTCTGGGCTGGCCACACATTCCAGCCAGGGACGCGGGAACTCGGCCTGGGTCCTGGAGACGTGACCCCCCCTTCCTTTGAAGTCCTTGGCCCCTTCCCCCTCTCCGTCCCCCTGCTGTCTCCCTCCCTCCTCTGCCCCTGTGTTCGCTCTCCTCCGCCCCAGTCCTCTGCCCTGGCCTGGGAAGCTTTGGGGCAGGGCCGGTTCCTCGCCTGAATGGGGGGAGCAGAAGGGGCAGGGGGTGAGACGGGGCTGGGGAGGGACTGATCTATAGAGGCGACAGGGATAGGGGCTCAGCAAAGACTGTGGGAGCAGCTCCCAGCCCAGGGAGAGGAGATCAGGGCCCGGCACGGCGGGTCAGAGCTGGCCCAGTATGGCTGAAGGGGGGGAAGGGGCTAAGGAGCGTTTAGGCAGGAGGGTGCCCAAGGCAAAGCTCCCCAAATCTCATGGCCTTGTAGCTGATCCCCCTTCAAAGTGCGAGAGGACCCCACCCAGCCCAGCTGGCGACTCTGTGCCTCAGTTTCCCCTCTCATCATACCCACCTCAAAGGGCTGTGCATTGCATGGACCAATTGGTCAGGGGCCAAAGTGTCTCCTGCCGTAAGCCCAGGGAGGTCAATGTGGGGCTACCCCAGGGATGACTCCGCCCCATTATTTCTGGGCGAGGCCTGAGGGGCTCTCACCCTTCTTCCGTTGACGCCCTCCACTGTGGCCTCCAGCCTCCTGCCTTTGCTGCCTCCTGCTGCCCCAGGCTTCCATCCCTGCTTGGAGGGGCGCAGAGGCCAGGGAGCTGCGTGGGCAGCCCTGGGCTCTGGCCTGAGAACGACCAGCCGGGATCTGGGCAGTGAAAGGGGAGATGGCAGCTTTGTGGCTCAGTGCCAGGACCTCTCCTCCCGAAGAGGGGCAGCGGGGGAGGCTCCGGGTGCCCAGAGCACCCCACAGCAGAAAACCCCGGCCCCTCCCATCCCTCACCCGGGGTGATGAGGAAGCGACCCAGATCCAGCACCCCTCCCCCTCCCTATGCCCCAGTCTGCCCCGAACGTCTGGCTCTGCCACTCACAGACCCTGCGCTGCCCCATCTCCCCCCTCCCCCCCCAGGCTCCTTGCCCTTCCCGTGTCCTGCCTGCTCTTACTGACACACCCTGGGAAGGATCCTGCGGGGGCTGCCCGGCACACATCCTGAGCCGCTCTCGCCGAGCGTACGGCAAAGAGGGGCCCGGGCTCTGGATTTCCCCAGCACTCGGGGGGCACAGGGCTGGGCCTGGCGGAGCACCAGGGTCTGGGCACCAAACCTAGCGCCGGGGCTGCCGGGAGGACCTGGGCGTTTGTGTGGCCTGGCTCGAAGAGGGGCTTTGTTCTCCCACCCGGGCTCCCCCAGTCGCGTCCATCTTATTGTCTCTGCCCCTTTTCTTTATAGGCAACTGGAATTATTTTGGCTGGGGAGAGCAGCAGAGTAAGTATCCACCAGCTTCACACCCAGAGCTCGGGGCACATCCCCTCTCCTGCCCACGGGCCTCCCACCGGGCTGGCCCCCCGTCCCTGCCAGCGGGAGGCCCATCCTGGCCCCTCCACGCACAGCCGAGCGAGCGGGGGAGCTGAGGGTCTGGTAGCTAGGAGTGGCATGGCTAGCATGCAGGGCTGGGGCGCGGGGGTCTAGCTTTGCCTGGCTTTCTTCTTTTCATTTCGCTGGCATGTCTGGCCAGCGCCCTCAGAGCCCGGGCGGGGCAGGGAGTGGGTGCAGCGGGGGGAGCGGTGTGCAGGCGGCATGGCATTGCGGTGGGCACAATCCCAGCTGTCGTCTTGCCTCTCCAAGGCAGGAGAGCAGTAGGGTAAGTCGGCTCCCTGTAGATCCCTCCTCCATCTCTTCCTTCCCACCCCCCTCACCCTCATGTATACTCCCTCCCGTCCCCTCCTCCCCTCCCAGGCTGAGCGCCGGACAAGCCATCTCCCACCCCGGGCAGCTGGAAGGGCCT